AACTGCATCACTGACAGAGGGAAACATGAATTCAGTGTCAAGGCTCTGAGTACTGGGCTCAGATATGACTTGGTGAAACGGGATTTCCTCAAATCCTTCACGCTCCCTACTGATGTTCTCGTTTAAGGCTTGAATTCTAGTGTATTGGTTCATTCTGGATTCCTGGATTGGCTGTTTAACTGAATGGCTGACAGTGGATAAACTGAATTCAGTCACAAGTCTCAGGTTACTGGGCTCCTCAGACATAAAGAACTTTTGAGTTTCTTTAGAAAAAAGCTGAATTTCTGCTTTAAAAAAACTCACCTGAGGTTAAACTGCTAGTTATCAGAAGTGAAATAATCCAGAAAAACACGAAACTCCTTTGAAAAGTTTGTTTCCCCAGCCGGTATCCGAGGTGCAACGCCGACCAACCACAAGGCTGAAATGAGCCAAAAGGTATAGCAGTGACGTATTAAAGCAGACCCGACGCTTAGGCTTGGTCACGTGATTGACGTGCAGACGCTGGCAGGTAGCAGTGACGTATTAAAGGACTAGGAAAGAAGATGCAGACCCGACGCTTAGGCTTGGTCACGTGATTGACGTGCATACGCTGGCCGAGAGTTCGTTTATGCACATATATATATATTAGCTAGATCCCTCACCCGCGCTGTTTTTTTTATTTTATTATCAATATATGCGTACTACAATTCTCGTGGAGACAACAACACATAATGGAAACATGCGAGGCATCCTTAGTTGGTATTAAGGATAAAAGAAAAACAAATAAGAAACTTAAAAAGAGGCACTTATATCACAAAGTAAAAACAGTGTTTCAATATTAAACAATTTTCTTCAGCATGACAAATGGCTTTTGCAGTTACATTGGAATTTTTTGTACGAATCAAAGTGAATAAGAACATACGGAATTCATTTTTGAAACAGTTCATGTTTGGCAGTTGCTTTTTTACCATTTGCTTTTGTGGATGTGGTATTTACCCATAATAATAATAATAATATTAACAATGAATTATTCCCATTTAATTTAGAATTGTATTTAAGAATATCTTCATTTGTAAAACGATCAAGTTCTCTTATTTCATTTCTTAAACAACAATGGACTTCTTCCTAAAACTTCTTACTGACAGGACAGCTGAAAAATAAGTGTTCTATTTCTTCAGGGCTTCCCTTACAGAATTCACAAGGGTCAACTTCAAAACCAAATCTCTTCCTCAGTGTCTCTGCTGATGGATAGTAGTTGTTAAGAATTTTAAATTGCGTTTCTTTTACTTTTGGCATCATAGGCCATTTTAGAAATTTTAATTGTTTTCCTTCAATTATTGGATTTCCTAATATTTTTAGTTTAATCTTCATCATAATCATGATAGATATTTTTTTAAAGGCTCCATTTAAAATTTATTTTCATATTTTCTTTCTGTGATGTTCAATTCTCCTATTAATAAATTAGGAAGTTTTGTTTGAACATTAGAGAAGAGGATTGTGTTTTTTATCATTTGTATCAAAGTCACTGGAATAGTCTTACATACTTTCTCATATTCCTGGAGAGAACATTGAATGTTATTAAATTTGTATTTAAAATTCTGTAGCTGTAATATTTCACCATCTTTATCCATAATATCGTGTACAAAGATAATTCCTTGATCAAACCACTGCTGGTTAAACAAAGACTTTCTGTTTGAAACAATTACTCGATTATTCCACAAGGTGGCACAATGAGGAGTAAAATTATGGGTACATTCATCTTCCTCACCGGCGCTGTTCGTGAGAAGGGGAACTGGTATTTTGGTCATTTAAGAGAACATTTTAGCATCATTTTATAAATTAAGCTGGAATTAAAACCACAACTCTTGTTTCTGTCCTATGCATTTTAATATCGAAGCAGGTAGAGGAGGAGGAGATGGAGCCATATAAGCCTACAAACTCAGGTAATGGTCTCCCTCTGCTGGCAGAAAATTGGAACTACACATTCGATCTGTTTAAAGTTGCTATCCAGAGTTTTCCCTTTTAAGGAATAATGAATGATTTTACAGAAATCCATAAAACAAATTTGGTATTGTGTATTGTGATATAATGTAGGAAATATGTCTTTTCCCCTGCTAAGCCCGCCCCTGTCCCGTAGAGCTCCATGCCATATGAAGTGAGCGTCGGTCAGTAAGTCTTAGACTTTATGACAAAAATGCATTTTAGTTTTAGTCAGCTTTAGTTGACTAAAATTCAAAAAGGTTTTAGTCAACAAAGATATTTGATTTTAGTTTTAGAGTAATAGTCTCTAACAAATTATTTTGTAGGCCAGACGTGTACTCTGAGCTACTGGAGTGACTTTCATTCCAACATAATTTATTTTAGGCTACGGGACACAATCTTAGCTGCCCCAGGTGTTGTCCAGTAAAACAATAATCCCCAGACTGGCATCTTTTTCAACTTTATTTATAATAAATATAATGTACATAAATTACTGAAGAAGGCCTCTGCATCATTGTTTTCATTTTCACAAAATAAATTTATGATTTTCTTTCCTTAACAGAATGGACTCTTAGGGAGCATACAGAGTTCTCTATGCAATGTTTAAATAAAAATAACACATATTGTTTGTTTAGTTTATAATTTGAGTTATTATACCTCTACCTTACTTTTGTTATGCATATTTTGGCAAAGTCCAACCACTTAAATGCAATAATGTTTTTCCATAACACTGCAGTGTTGTGAGTTTTCATGAGCCTACACAATTAATTATAAAAATAACCCAATTCTGCTCTTGAGCATCAACAGAGATGCTCATAAACATTTAGTTGGGCTTAAACTGTGATGCTGTTGGGTTAAAAAGCGGGAATTTGACCCGTCATTAGGAACCAGGGAGCAGAGACAATAATCCTGACACACTGACTTTAACCCTCCCGCTGTCCTAATGGGTGACCCCGCGAGGAAAGTTGACCATTGAGCAGGATTGATGGTTTATCCCTTGAGGTCCACGTGGCAGGGGTTAGGTGGTGCTCACTCCTCACCCCTGCCACATGGACCTCAAGGGATAAACCATCAATCCTGCTCAATGGTCAACTTTCCTCGTGGGGTCACCCATAAAGAGAGTGGGAGGGTTAAAACATTTGTCTTTAACATGTTCAGATAAAACCTGTTACTTATTTGCCCCAAATCAGGCCATTTTCAGGATGCATACGGATAAGAAATATGATAATAAAATTCTATTTAAAGGTTGCAAAGTTGTCGTGTTAGTTCTAATCATTTACTTTTACAATACTCAACAATTATTTATTTATAATGAAAGAAAGAAAGAAAACAATCTTTTATATAGCAACTCTCAAGACAAATTAATGAGATGCTTCACAAACAGAAATTTAACAAATAAAAAAGATAAAAAAAATATTGACTCAGTAATTCAGTTGTTCACCTTCTTTTGACTCAAACTGACAGACTGTTAGCTGCACTTCTTTCTGTGGGGTATTCCAAGGTTTTCCAGGTAAATAAATTCACCCAATTTTCCAGGTCGTCACTGAATGAGTTTATTGGAAGACCAGTTTACAAACTCCTACATACCTTTTACAGTTCAGCATGTCACACAGTCAAAATTAGTGGTAAAGATACCAATTAAAATAACTGAACACTCCTAAATAACACTTTAATTCATAAACCAAGAAAAAAGCAACAAAAAGTCCTTCTTTTCTTTAGAGCAATGAGGGTTATGTAATAAACAGTACTACTACTACCACCGCTACTCCTGCTGCTACTACAACAATAACAATAATAATAATCCATCCATCCATTTTCTGACCCCGCTTGTCCATGTGGGGCCGCGGGTGGGTGGTGGTGGTGGTTGGGGGGGGGGGGGGGGGGGGGGGGGGGGGCTATCTCCAGCGGTCAATGGGCAATCAGGCGGGATACACCCTGGACAGAGAGCTAGTCCATTGCAGGGCAACACAGAGACACATAGGACAGACAATCATGTACACACACACATACACCTAAGGACAATTTAGACAGACCAATCAACCTAACAGTCATGTTTTCGGACTGTGGGAGGAAGCCAGAGTACCTGGAGAGAACCCACGCATGCACAGGGAGAACATGCTAACTCCATGCAGAAAGATCCCAGGCCGGTAAGCGAACCCAGGACCTTCTTGCTGCAAGGCAACAGCTCTAACCACTGCGCTACCCTTAATAACAACAACAACAACAATAATAATAATGATAATGTTTATGATAATTATAATAATAATAATAATAATAATAATAATAATTATTATTATTATTATTATTATTATGAACATAGCCATGGTGATGAGGAAAAGTGAGACCAATGAGTACCAATCTGCTTATATTTCTGACATTTCACTGAATAAAGTTTTTAATTTCACATTTAATAAATCTACTAAATCAGTGCACTGAAATGTTAATACCACATGCTGTTAGAACAATAAAGAAGTTTCACATTCATACATGTACATTTTTAGTCAACATTTAGAATAGCACCAAACGTGACTGCAGTAGACACTAAACACAAAGTAAAACTGGAACTGCATGTATATATTTAGAATAACATGGATTCTACAGGACATTATGCAGCTGAACAGATGTTATGGTGAATCAGATTATAAACATCTTCGGTTGTTTTATTGAGGTACAAACTGCTTGTTTTCCTAAACTTTAGTGCCCAGATTATAAATACATCTTAGGTTTTATCTTTTTCAACTTTGAGTTAGGAGACACAGTAAATCACATTTATGTAACAGTTATATTTTGTGTCTATAGGGCAGATGTAAACGTATGATTGGTCACACAAAGTACCAAGTAGAAAATTACAAAGTCCCAAACCTCCGACAAACGTCAGCCTAGTGAAGAGAAGCCTGTATGCAGATAAATACTGAATCTGCAGACAACACGCCAACACGAGGTAAGACTGAAGGTGGTGATTTATGACATTACCATATTATGGTCCATACCATCGCAGTTTGCTGGAGGAGCAGAATCAAGATCTGAGCTGTGTAGCAGCAATGAGTGTGATAGACATCCTCAAGGAACGCAAAGCTTATCTCTCAGACTTGACCTTATAGCGGAGGACCAGATAGGTGGCCAGTCGTAGGATGATGAAGAAAACACCCAGAACAATGAAATCGACGTGAAGCTTTGCATCTTCTACATCTAAGAGCTGAAGAACCTCTTCAGGCTTCTGGAACTTACACACCTTCCCTGGACACTCCAGCTCTGAGCGGTTCATCCCGTAGATCGACAGGATCACACCTTCAAAGCTGTACCTGGAAAACAGAAGTCCATCTTCACTCTTAGGCACCGTTCAAATGTTTCCAATCATTTTGACACAGATTTGAGGGTTAATGTTAAACGGTCAGTTTAAAACACTCAGCAGCTTTATTTGTATAGCACATTTCACATACGGGAGAAATTCAGTGTGCTCTCCAGAAGCATGATCAACAGGAACATGAAACATTAAAATCAACGTGACAACATAAAACAGCAGATTTTAAAATCAAGTTTAAATTTAGAATCAACTAAGTACAGAAATAAATTGATATGAGTGTCGGCCCAGGGAGACGAGGGTTCAAATCCTGGTTGGGGTCATACTTTGAAAAAATGGGACCCAATGCCTCTCTGCTTGATATTCAGCATTAAGGGGTTGGATTGGGGGGATAAACCACCACGTGGTTCCCAAGCACTCTCTTAGATCTGGGTATCATCTGCATAACAATGATAGGCAATGCTGTTATAGTGCACTACCTGACCCGAGGACAGCATGTAGAGATTAGCTGTTTTTACAAAACAATGGCGTCAATTTTTCACAACGCTGTGGCAGCACTGGGACCCTTAGGTCATTTATAAGTGGTCAGACCGTGGCGGCAATGTGGTGCAATCGTGTCCTTTTTATAAAAGATTAGGCGATGGCGGCATAAAGGGGGTATGAGGGCGGTCTCTGCGCTGCCGCAGACTTCCGTTGGTCTTGGACATAACTTGCTTTTTATTGCGATTGAACCGCGATTGTTAAATTTTTTTAACAAGCCGCTCCTAAAGATGTCTGTCCCCATCAGTCCCTGTGCAGTCTCTGATGATCTGAGCTTCAGCTCTAACAGAGACACTCATGGAGCGCTGCAGCGCTCCTGTTTGCCGTCTAAGCTGATTTTGTTCAAAAGCAAAACCTACGGCCCGTGTTTACTTTCATATTCAATATATTTCTCGGCATTAACTTCCCATGTCATCATGATACCTCCCTCTGTTGCGCCACGGCACAATAGCCGTTTATTAGACAGACCATTACCGCAATATTACTACCAAGCAAGGCGGAACGACTGCTGCAAAATTCATACGTCGTCATGCTGGCATGGCGCGTTTATAAGACACACCGTTGCTGTAATATTACACCAGCACGGTGTGTCTACTCTTGTAAGAAGAGCTACTGAAGAGCAGTGATCCAAGAATTGAGCCTTGGGGGACCCCTCATGTTATGCTTGATAGTCCCACCCAGTTTATGAGCCTATCAAGAAGGGAGTTGTGGTCCCCAGTGTCAACAGCTGCTCTGAGATTGAACATCACCAACACAAATGTTTTGCCTGCATCTGCATTGGGTAATGGCGTCAAGGACTTCTCAAGTTTTACAGTTCAAATGATGTAGAAGTGAATAAACATGATTAGTCAGACTTGTTGACATATTTATATGTTCTATAAAAACTGAAGCAGTATGATCACTCAGATGCCATTTTGAGAACAACTGAAGTGTGATCATACTTTAAGGCCCTGTCCACACGTAGCAGGGGATCTGCCAAAACGTAGATATTTTTCTACGTTTTGGCCTGTCATCCACACGAAAACGGCGTTTTTTCACACGAAAACGGATCTTTTAAAAAACTCCGGCTAAAGTGAAGATCTGCGTTTTCTCCGTTTTGGGTGTCTGCATGTGGACGGACAAAACCGGAGTTTTAAGGTCTGCAACGTCACTTTCCGCGACAAAAAAAAAAATGCTGACATCACGTGTACGACCTGTGTTTACACTAGCCGACAGCATGGATGCCCTCAGAGCTGCGCTGGCTTTATCAGTTGTCCAAGCGCTTTTTGCTTGTTTGTTTTTGCAAGCGGAATTACTGCTCCTTGCGGAAGACCACAGAGGAAGGACGAGGTTAAGAACGGGGGAAGTACTGCCGCCTACAGGTCTGGCATGTTCTTAACAACGCATTTATCCGGGTACGTGTGGACAGAGTTTGTTTTTAAAACGAGGTGGTGTGGTTGCAAGTTTTTGGAGGGGCGGATATTCGTTTTTAAAAAAACCCGGCTACGTGTGGACTAGGCCTAAGATGGCCTCTTTTACTCTGATATATTCAGAAAAGTCCTCTGAAGCCATGGCCACATATGCTGCGCGGGCTTTTCCTGGAAGATGTGGTACCAGCCTCACTGCCCAGTCCCTTTCCGGCCACAGGTATGCCGTTGCTAATTGTTCAAAGGTCGTCAGATTATGTTCAATATCATTCCCCTCCTCCAGCTTTGGCACCGCCGGCTGAGACCATCCTCTTGCTGCTGGCTCACCATTGGAGGGGTTGTCATCTGGCTGTGAGGGACTCGAGCCCCCATCTGACTGAGACGAAGGGTCCGGCTGAGGATCATGTTCACTTCCCCGCTGCCCGTCCAGGTCATCTTGGAGGTTATAAACTTGAACTTGAATTTGGCTCCATCTCCTTTCCTGCTTGATTGCTTTCTTGTCCCAAATGTCAGTGAACTCACTTTGGGACTGTAGGCATTTTTGCAGCATGGCAACAATAGAGCTCATATCCCCTGAAGCTGGGGACTCCTCTCCGGTGCGCGTAGCTACGGCCGGCCGCCCCGTAGCCATTTCCTGCTCCATCTCCTCCACCACTTCCGCCTCAACAGCCTTGCTGCTCTTTGACTGCTGCTTTGGACCCATGATTACTCCTACTGGACAGCTCTTGATGTCAGCGCCACATCCCACCTCTGCCACCAACTGTACGGTTTTGGCCCAGACAGAGCCTCTGCCTCAGGATGTTACCAGATGTTTGTCAACAGAAGAAAAAGCAAGAGTCCAGGATGTTGCAGAGCTCTGACTTTTTATCCTTTTTTTCTGAACACAAACAATCCATGACATTGGGGCATGGATTCCCCTTAACAAGCAATCAACCAACCAACAACAGTGCCGAATCCACCATTTTAAAGCTAACTTAGAACCAACCATTATGTTATGGGCAGGGGAAATAATTAGCTTGAAATCCTACAATCAATAAAGCACATCTCAACAAATATTTCAAACAATCTATTTACATATTTACCTCCTACCTTAACTCAAAAGAACAAAAACAACAACAACTACACTTAAACAAACACAAGATAACCTCCTCTCCCCCCTCTCTCTTCAGTCAGTTAGTTTCTTCCTCAGTGGAGCTGATTAAGCACATCAGGAACTGATCATGGCTGCCTATGGGCGCGCTTCCATGGCAACACTTAAATGACCTCAGAAGGAAAGGAGTGATGATCACCAATAAATCAACTTAACTTAAAGTAATTTATAGATTACCAAGCTTATTTGACCTAAAACACACACAGAAATACAGGATTAAACAGAAACAAGAGACATAACTATTAGTGAGGAGATAAATCCCTCACAGACTGCTGAAGGACTTACTGACCACTTGACGACTCTTGTTGTAAATTGGCGCAATATAAACAAACTTTATTGAAATAAAGCATCAGGTGATGAATTGTTCTACTGAGATTCTACATAATCGTAAACACACCTGACATAAGATACATATGAGCTCCACTGCAGATAGTTGGGGATCGTGTCAAAGTTCACAAAGAATCCAGAGAATAGCAGCACAGGGATAGCTGTGACAGGTCCTATAAATGTAGCGACCTGTGGGACAGAAGACACAACCTGTTGTTCACGGACAACATGAGACATGAAGTCCAACAGAACCACTACAAACTAGCAATACCTGGAGGGACGTGGAGGCAGCACCAACCAGTAGGCCCAGGGACTGGGCCACCAGGGCGGTGCAGATGGACAGGGCGATGAAGAGCAGGTACCGAGGGGCTTCAGGCGGCTGCTCTGTCATCCAGTACACAATGCTGCAGTACATTATGGGACAAATCACCTGCAACAGCAACTGTATTAGCTGCAGGGTTACCAGTTGGCAAGATGCAGCTAATGAACCTGAACTGACACACAAGGGAGGGCCTGTGCCTGATTGTGTTGTTTTATTATGTGCAACGCTTTGGTCGGTTGTAATGCCATGTTAAAAGCACACTATAAATTAAGTGGTAATGTATGATAAATTTATTTACACACAGATCTGTGTATTTCGTGCATAGGAACTATTTTATGCATTGTGTTTTGTACTTGTGCATAGAAATGTTCCTAAATAAAAGAATAGAATAGAACAGAATGCCTTTATTGTCACTATACACAAATATAATGAGATTAAATGCAACAACTTCAGTGCAGTCAAAACACAATAAACAATAAAAAAACTAGCGGTACAAAGCTGCGCTATACCAACACATTCTCACTCCCAGCGCGTCAAAAACAAACGCTTGGGCAGCCACCCTCCGCGTCAGACCCCTGACGCCAAAAGTGCCCTTTTTCATCACTTATGTGCGAAAAGGTGTTTTTCCCTTTTCTGACTGCAGATCCCAATGCAGCGTAAAACTGACGCGATGGGATGTCCGCTGATGCTGCACCGAACCAGCTCATTTAACCGCACCTAAACTTTAACTTTTTGCTATTTATAACCTTCCCCTCGTCCTCATCCTAACCTTAACCCTCTTGCTACCTAAAACGTTACTCTCACTGTAATCAAGCGTTTGTTTCCCATGCATTCTGACTGAGTTTTCAAATTTGCCGCCCAAGGGGAATGTTAGAACATACCATCTGAAGAAATACGCTCCTCAATGTCTAATGGCTTTATTGACAAGGAGGAAGGAGCCCTGCGGCGACATACAAAGCTGAGTGAACAGAATAACAGCAGCGTGAAGCAGCAGCATGGGCTGAAGGCCAAAGCTAAGCAATGCGGTAAAATAGGTCAATAAATGCAGCGCGGCTTAGCATGCATACTGACAATGTGAACAATCCTTGAACTAGCTTAACAAGCAGGTGAAGACTTACAGATACAAGTCGAACAGTACCATGGATAGACAGCAATGTGATGGATGAGCAGCAGCAATCCAAATGAGAAGCAGCAGTATATACAGTCAGGGATAGTCACATGTACGTGACTTCAGGCACATCCCTGAATACACCTTTTTCCCTCGAGGTTTGATTACAGCACACCCTAGTGGCCAGTGGTGACCTCCGCACCATCTGGCGAGGGGGAGGTTACAAATGCACTCTACTTTTAACCTCCACCTGGGTAGTTGAAACCTCCCCCTCGCATTGCCTCAGTCCAAACTCGACCAATGACGAGGCGGCTCCCGCCGTTCACTTCATAGAGCCGGCTTTTAGAGTGACTGACACATCACTAACGTGTTAGCTAATAAGATGGTTGAGGTTAGAATAGGGGTGAGGGGAAGGTTAAATAACAAGATAAGGTTAGGGTGAGGTACAATGAGCTTGTTTGGTGCCCTGGCAGCTGACATCCCATCGCGTCAGTTTTACGCTGCATTGGGATCTGCAGTCAGAAAAGGGAAAAACCCCTTTTCGCACATAAGTGACGAAAAAGGGCACTTTTGGCGTCAGGGGTCTGACGCGGAGGGTGGCTGACCAATCATTTGTTTTTGACGCGCTGGGAGTGAGAATGTGTTGGGTATACACATATTGGATATTGCACAGATTGATGGGCAGATGGGAGACATGAGGTTGGGTGTCCGTGCATGTTTGAGTTTAAGGTGGTCATGGCTTTCAGAAAAAAAGTGTTCTTGAGCCTGTTTGTCCTGGTTGTGACACATCTGTATCAGCTCCAGGAGGGCAACAGGTCAAACTGGTCACAGCCAGGGTGGGAGCTGTCCTTGATTATGTTTTTTCTCTGTCGAGGCAGTGGGAGGTGTAAATATCCATTAGGGAGGGTGGCGGGCAGTCGATGATCCTCCGTGCTGCATTTAAATCTGTCTGAAACCTCTTCCTGTCTGCAGGGGCGTAGCACCAAATTCTGGGCCCTAGATACAAGTCTTCTAGGTGGGCCCCATGCTCAATTACTTTATCTCTCTTACACATTTTTTGTCATGCTATAAGACAAGATAAAAAATATGATCTTAGTTTAACCTCTATATTGAGCAAATACAAATGCCAGCATAATAAAAGTGAAATGCCCAGACTTCACATATAATTATTTTTATTTGCCAACAATGTGTTCAAACAAAAATCCTGGAATTTATTTTCCAGTAAATGCCCACTGACGGGTCTTCATGTTAGCAAAATCACTTATGAGATCTTTAAAGTCCAATCCTTTGGCTAATTGGCTTTCAATAGAAAGAAGAGCTAGGATGTTCAGTCTATCCTGGGACATTGTTGATCTCAAAAAAATTTTCACCAGTTTCAGTTTGCTAAAAGCCCGTTCACCCCCAGCAACAGTCACAGGTAGTGTGCAAAATATCCTCAGTCCCATACAAACTTCTCCAAAAATGCTCTGTAATTGCATCCTGTAGATAGCATTAAGCAGCTCAAGTGGAGACCGAATGTGTGGAAATGTGGCACCATATATTGTTCTCAGGTGTAGCATCTCATTCTCAAATTCAGCTGTGAGATCCTTGTAATGTTTTCTCATTAGTGCCTGGCATGATATCTTCATCTGCTCTTCAGTCATGTCTGTCATGGTTCATGATGTTAAGCTTTGCTGATATATATTGATATATTAAATACATATGACATGAAATAAACCAGGTTCTCTCTGTGAATGTAATGTACTCTAAATTTTATAATCCCTGCATTATCAGCCAAATTATAAGATTGTCCGTTTTCATGATCAAATATAAAGAAATTTAAAATAGGCTTAAAATATCTAACCAAGTCAATAACAATCCTCTAACACCAGTGTCATCATGCTATACGAAAAACAGTGGCAGCTTCTCATTCCTGAGATTACCACGAATCCATCGATACCAAGTTTGTCCTGGTCCATGACTGGGAAGGAGCTGAAATATCCACACAGTGAACCTGTTTTTACTGCGAGGTCCGCGAATTAATTGGCGGCGGCCGCCCGCGATAATAATTCGGATTTATAAATATATATATATGTATATATATATATATATTAATTAGTGTTTTCACTGATAACACTAATTAATTTATATTTGATCTTGATGGTGAAACTAAAGGCGTTTAACACTGAACTCCTCACATGAATGCAGCTTCTGACAGCTAGCTAATATCAGCTAAAACTGTGTTCTGCTGCTGCTGCTCACCGTCCTTCTACTTGCTTCTGTTCAATTAACTTTTCCTCCTTCTCCTTCTTTTCTTTTCTTTTCTTTTCTGGAAGCCAGATTTCCCTTTCTTGGGAAAAGACATGACTGACTCTCCTGCCTCCAGCTCTGGCTGTCGGCATCTGCGATGTCTCATTAGCTGTACATGCGGCCGTGCAGCCCCTGGCCGCTGGTGTGGACTAAACCACTTTGCACATTTTTAAGGGGTGATAGATGCCTCAGAGATTATTCAGTTATTATTTTTAAGGCAAAATTCTGTTTCTTAACCCCTTTATCCAGGTAAAGGGAAGCTTATTAAGACATTAAGTAAGTTGGGGGAAAAAAACAACAACAATAAAACATTTTTATTCAAAGCTGTCTCAGGGCCCCTCCCTGCAGTGGGCCCTGGGTAAACGGTACCCTTTCCCCCCCCAGTCCGACGCCCCTGCCTGTCTGCCATGGTGCAGCTGCCTTACCATACAATGCATAGGTCAGTAGCAGGTTGGAGTCAAGGTTGTGCTTCCTGAGGACCTTCACGAAGTATAGCTGCTATTGAGCCTTCTTGATCACAGCTGTGATGTTGTCTGTCCAGGAGACGCCGGCAGAAAAGATGACTGTGTTAAAAGCTTAGCTGTAATCCACAAAGAGCATCCGGACATAGCTCTGCCGCTGCTCCAGGTGGCTCAGCACAGAGTGGAGGGATATGGGGATGGCGTCTGTGGATCTGTTTGAGTGGTAGGCAAACTTGTCCTGGGGGAGATAGACTTTGATGTGTTGGCACACTAGTTTCTCAAAGAACTTCATCAGCTCAGTGGCCAAGTGGTAGAGTGTCCGCCCTGAGACTGAGAGATCAGGGTTCAATTCCTGGTCGGGTCATACCAAAGACTTATGGGCCATTCCCATCTGTACCGGGTCGGCCCGGGCCGGGTAGCATAGGTTGTTTACATATCTGGGTGGCCTGGTATTTTTCCGGGCCAACCAAGGCTCATTCTCAGCCCTCTTCTCGAGGGGGTCTGCTTCAGGCCAACCAGGGCCAACACACCCACTGCTGACAGCAAATTCACACCTTCCATTAGAGCAAGCCTCTGATTGGTGGGTAGAATCAGCCCACATGGGCTTAAGGCAAAGATGTGTGGAATCAACCGGGCCAGGCTGGGGCCAACTGGGGCAACCCGGCCCGGGCCGACCCAGTACAGATGGGAATGGCCCATTAGAAAAAAATGGGACCCAATGCCTCCCTGCTTGACACTCAGCAATAAGGGATTGGATTGGGGGGGGGGGGGGGGGGTAAAACCACCAAATGGTTCCTGAGCACAGCTGTGTCTGCAGCTCACCACTCCCCCAGGGGATGGGTCAAATGTGGAGAACAAATTTCGCACACACATCAGTGTGTGTGAGAACTGATGGGACTTTAACTTTTTAACTTTAATTTCATGATTACCGGGGTGAGTGCCCAGGGTAATAATCATATAGGCTGAGATTATTCAATGGTCGATTGGAGGAACATGCGTACGAGAGGACACAGCATGTTTCATAAATCAGGATTTAGCACTTGTGTATAAGCGTTAAATTTCATTTGTAGGAAGGAATAGGACACTTTCTACAAATGTATGATAAATGAGGGCCCTGGGCCCAACGTGTTGATGCTTTGTTCCTGATTTAGTTCTGGACTTTAGCCTTTTGGCCCAGTGCTCCATCATGCTGGCGAAGATGTTGTTCATTAATTAACATTTGTTGAATGGTTGAAGGAGGTTCTCTGGTAGGATGTTTGGTACTATTCTTCATTCATTGATGTTCTGAGACTAAACTGTGAATGAGTCAATCTCCTTGGCCATCTTCTTTTCAAATGCAAGAAGAATACAAAGAAGAAGAAACCCCACTTTCAACCATAGAGAAGTGAGAAACTTATTAAGTGTTGCTTCAACTGATATTTGAGTCATTCACCAAACCCTTGACCTCAGTTTTACAGCTTTGTCAGGTTGATCCAGCTCACCTGAAATGGGATGTCAGCCATAGTTTTGGCCAGGTAGTAGGCCTTCAGGCTATACCAGTAGTTCAGATGCTCCCTCAGGAACACCGACATCTCCAGAGGAACTGTTGGATCATATGTTTACACATAGAACAATACACCAGCTTGTGAATAAGGAGGCTGAAGTTTGACATTACTTGTTATCCCAAAAATGTGCCAAAAATTGAGAAATTACTGTATGATACTCACATGTCAGCACAGTTGGCATGAGTGCTCCAAACATGAGAAAGAGCATAGAAAAGAAGAGAAATCCAGTGTTGTTGAACACCCTGCTTGCATCATTCCCAATGTTCAAATAGAGCAAGCCTATTATAACGCCGATAGAGATGTGGGACATCAATCTAAGGTGGGTCAAAACCTAAACAAGGGTCAGACTGATTAAACTTCTGAAAGTTTGACATGAAGCTGTCTTTATTTCATCTCTGTGAGGTCACCAACCTGATCTCGACATATGGTTATGAAGGTTCTCTTGAAGAGAATGCAGAACTGTGTGAGTGTGCTTGTGGCAAAAGAATGGCTCTCTATGTGCTGAGATTTCTGTAACACACCAATGTTAATTTGACATCATTGTCTGTTTTCTTCTGAGAGGCACACAAGATGTAGAATGCAGAAATTCAACAACAGAATGAAACCAGTTTTAAATGCAGCAGAGACCACACTTATGTACCTTCAGACACAGATTATACTCTTGATTCATAGCGCTCTCCTCATAATCCAAACAAAAAACTGCTAAAGGTGCTGCACAGAAGTAGGATGTGAAATCAGCAAAGTAGCAAGGCTAATACATTTATTTCTGGAACAAGCAAAACTAACATTTCTACACAAGTGTCTCTTCCTCAGACACAGATCATACGTTTTAAACAACTTATTCCCTACTTTACATGGAACTATGGCCTTCTCCTTTTCTTATCGTGAACAAATGAACCAGCTGGATAAAATGATGGAAAAGCAAGGCAAGGAAAGATTTCTGAAATTGCAACAAAAGGTAACAGCAGGTAACAACGTGGGTGTGTTTGTGTGCAACGATGCCCGAAGCACACCCACCAGCTGTTCTGGGACTCTACAGAACTCACAGATTACCTGTGCGCCTCTGGATGTCAGTCACAGAGTGTGAGTGAGCATTTGAGGACATTCCTAGACAAATGCAGAGTTAGCAACCTTTCTCTAAGTCTTTAAAATATGAATATTTATACGAATAAACAACATGAGAAAATAACTGACTCTCTTTGACCGCTAGAGGTACATGTTCACAAAGAGGCGTTGCTTTGGGTTGTAAATATGGAAATGAAAACAACGCACTATACATTTGTTTGCCACTAGATGGTGCAGTCAATAAAAGACACTCCAGACTGCAGCTTTAAAGTTGCAATAGCAAATTTGGAAAACAAATGAGCTTAAAACAACTTTTTCGTGCCTCTCAACAACATTCTAACATAGTATAGCTGTAAATTCATTGTGGAAATAAAACGGTTCTCTCTCAGTTGTCTAGAAATCTCCATCAATAACACAGAAGCAACTGTTGTACCATCTGGTTATTGATCTTGCTGAACCGCTACAATTCCCTGGGTCCTCCACTCATTACACACTCGTGTATTCAGCACCAGAACACCACTGGTGTGAGAGATTCTCCACTCAATAATCTCAATAATATCAGAGAAGATGAAACAGCCAGCTGCCACACTTCAGCTTTCGGACAAACTACCAGAGCCCCAAAAAGAAAAACACCATTTGAGGTCACAGACAACAAAAGATGTTTGGACCTAGAAAATAGAAACTGCTGTTTAGCACTATCTCCTTTCTTCTTGAAAATGTGGGATTCCAATTCCGATGGATACAGATCCAGGGAAAATATCCGAGGGGAGGGGTGAGTGATCCATGACTGGTTTTGCGTTTTAAACACAGCTTGTTTGCAGATTTGCTATAACAGCTTTAACAGATGACCACAGATAATGACTGACTTTGTCCAGCTGGTAATGTGGCAAACTGTGCTCAGACAGGATAATTTCATACATACCAGTGGGTACTTATCTGGACAAACTACTGTGCCGTTGTCACAGTG